ATGGGTTCATATGGAGCGAAGGTCAGCCAGGGCCCGGGATGGTGTGTGACAGCACGAAGGAGCTGTGGGAGGAGCCGACGGCAAGGGAACGTGAGCTGGCAATGGGCTTTCTCCCGGACGCAGCAGTAGCCGCAGGGGTGGGAGAGACGCCGAGGCGTGAAGCCCTGGGGAGGGCAATGGATGCGGAGGCAATGCACTGGCTGGTGCATGTGATTCAGATGCATTTGGTATCCAAGCAGTTGGAGATGGAGGCAGAAGTGGGTGGCCCAGGGGACAACACAGAGGAGAAGGTGGGTGCCAGCCAGCGCAGGGCAGAGCAGATCCTGTCAGAACTTCAGGTGGAGCGGCGACAGCAGCGAGAAAGGGGGTGGGCTCTAATGGCAGCAGACGCGGCTAGCACCGGAGGAGCCATTGCAGGAGAAAGCTGGATCGAACCACCGGAAGAAGAGATGCAGCAAGGAACGGTAGGAGAAGAACCAGCGGTGGAGGGAGCAACCAGGAGGGTGCAGGCGGAGACATCCGAAGTGGCCAGGGAGGAAATAGCGCTGGGACCAGAGCACAACCCTATCCCAGCCGAAGCACCGAGAGAGCGGCAGGCGGAGCAAGAGGTACACTGGGAGGTGGGCGAAGGCCTCACGGGGGAGCTGAAGGAGCAGATGTGGGTGGTACTGAAAGAAAACAGACAGGCATTCGCCTTCACCCCACTCGAGCTAGGCAAGTACAAGGGAGGAGAGATGGAGATAAGGCTGACGGAAGAGATACCGGTGTACCAGCGCAAGCAGAGGATGAGCCCGGGGGATCTGGAGGTGTGCATGGAGAAGTGCCGGGAGCTGCTAGAGGCGGGCCTCATAAGGCCCTCAGAGTCAGAGTACGCAGCCGCGACCGTGGTGGCGGCAAGGAAGGAGCTCACTGGAGGAATCCTGTCACGCCGGATGTGTGGAGACTATCGAGACCTCAACAAACTGACCGTGGCCAACCGCTACCCCATGCCGACGCCAGAAGAAATCTTTGACAAGCTGCAAGGGGCACTGGTGTCCAGCACGCTAGATCTTTGACTTAACCAGATACGCATCACGGAGGCCGACGTGAAGAAGACCGCATTCCACGGGCCAGATGGGTTGTACGAATGGCTCTTCATGCCATTCGGCCTGAAAAACGCCTCTGCGGTCTTCCAGAAAGCCATGGACCGGGTGCTGAGGAATCTGCAGCACTGCGCAGCCTGTTATATCGACGACGTGGTGGTGTACAGCTCATCCGCGGAGCAGCACGTGAAGGACGTCGCGCAGGTGCTTGAGGCGATCAAAGCAGTAGGACTAACCTGCCACCCCAAGAAGTGCAGGTTCGGGACACTGACGGTGCAATACCTCGGGTTTGAGGTGTGCGGAGGGCAGATGACGATCCAGCAAGCGAAGGTGGTAGTGCTAGACAAGTTGGCGGTGCCCGAGAGCCGGACGGCGCTCAGGGCCATCCTGGGCTTTCTAAACTACTACCGCAAATTTGTGCCCAACTTCAGCAAGCGGGCCGCCAGCTTGAATCAGCTCTTAAGGGAAGATGTGGCTTGGAAATGGGGGGCAACGGAGCAGGGGGCATTGCAGGATCTGCTAGACGCAATAAAGTCAGGGCATGTGCTGCTGCTGCCGAAACCAGAGGGCATGTTCACTCTCTACTCGGACTGGAGCAGCGCAGACATGGGGGCAGTGCTCTGCCAGCAAGGGGAGGAAGGAGAAAGGGTGGTGGCGTTCGCCAGCCACATCTGTAACGCGGCAGAAGCAAACTACAGCTCTTACGAAGGCGAGGGGCTAGCGGCGGTGTGGGCAGTAACGCATTTCCGAGTCTACCTGCAAGGACGCGAGTTCACACTGGTTACTGACCACCAGCCCCTTCTATGGCTCATGACCAACCACACCCTGACCGGACGGAACGCACGATGGGCAATGAGGCTCCAGGAGTTCGACTTCGTGGTCAAACACAGGCCAGGCCGCACGCTACAGCACGTCGATGGGCTGTCCCGCAACCCTCCACCCGCAGAGCCGGTGGCGGGCCTGGTGGCGTTGGCGAGAGAGGCAGAGAGGCAGGGGGAGCGTCAGGAGGAGCAGCGGGGGGCGCCAGACATCTGGCAGGACGAGGAGACGCTCAGGTGGCTCAGGGGGGAGACCGAGGCGGAAGAACCAGCCTCACAGAGAGCACGAGCGCGAGGGCAGCACTACATGTGGTACGCGGGGCAGGTCCAGCTGAGAACAAGGGAGGGATGGAAGCTAGTTCTGCCGCCAGCAGAGCGCGAGGGCATCATTTGCCGAGTGCATCAGCAGTTGGGCCACTTCGGGCATGTCAGGACTGTCTAGCTAGTCAACACAGGGTGGTGGTGGGCAGGCATGGCGCGGCAGATTCGGGAGCAGGTGGGGCAGTGTGAGGCTTGTGACCGTAACCGAGCCCAGCTGGAGCGCAGCCAGCAGCAGCTGCAATCCCTACCCATCCGCGGACTAGGATACAGATGGTCCCTCAACATGGCGGGGGAGCTACCCTTGAGCCGCTGCGGCAAGAAGTACATACTGGTCATGATCGAGCACGTCAGCAAGTGGGTGGAGGTACGGGCCCTCAGCAGTAAGAGCGCGGCCCTGGTCACAGAGGCGTTCACAGAGCAGGTCCTCACTCGGATGGGAGCATGTGGGGAGGTGCTCACTGACCAAGGCACAGAGTTCCGCGGAGAATTCGACAGAGCCTTGACCACAATTGGGATCACGTATCGCAGGACCTCCCGCTACCATCCTCAGGCTGACGGACTCACCGAACGGATGGTGCAGACCCTCAAACACGGACTGAGGGCATACGGGGAGGCCCACCGGCGCACATGGGACGTGGATCTACATTGGGTAGCGGCTGGGCACCGTTTCAGCAAGCAAGCGGCAGTGCGAGACGTCTCCCCCTATTACCTGTTGTATGGGCGGGAGCCCATTTTGCAAGTGGGAGCTCCGAGGGTGCTCACTGACGTTGTGACAGCAGGCGCACCCGAGCTGTGGGGTGCTCTGGCGAAGGTGCGCGGGGACTATCTGCGGGCACTCCTGCCGTCGGCCATGGAAAATCTCCATGTGGCACAGCTGCGCGATGCTCACAGGTACCAGCAGCGGTTGGGGGGACAACGCACGCCCGGGGCAGAGCAGTTACAGCAGAGGCAAGAGGTGTATCGTCGCACGGCGCGGCAGAATGTCCTGGACCTCGGTCTCAGCGAAGAGCGGTGGAAGGTGGTGGAAGCCAGGGAGTCTGGAGTCGTAGTGCTGGAGAATTAGCTAGGGCGACGGGTCAGGGATCACGCCACGAACACCGCCCGAGCTCGCACCAGGAGCTCTGGAAGGCTGGAGCTGGGTATGCAGGAGCCGTAGCCAGCTCCAGAGGGGGCAAGTGAGTGGTGCTGATGCTTTCTCTGCCCCTCTTCTGGCTCGTGCTTGCCATGCTGGATCAAGCAGAGCCCCGAGCAAGGAGGCAAGGCAAGCACGAGCCAGAAGAGGGGCAGAGAAAGCATCAGCACCATGTCCAGAACAGACAGGAGCGCTGCAGAGCAACAGAGCAAGATGAGCACGACAGAGTGGGTAACAGAGAGGCAGGGGAGCCAAGAGATTTCCGACAGCTGTCGCGGTATTATGTAGACCATGGAGGGCAACATTATGCCGAGACAGCGGCCGTGGCATAAGGCGTGTGCTTGACAAATCAGTGAGATAAGTTTCATTGGGGCGAGTGTAAGCGGAACAAGGAGCAGCAGATGAACGGGCTGCGGTGTACATATTTTGTACCATAGCGAGGACGAACCTTGAGCAAGTGAATGCCGGGAGAAGGTTGTGGGGGGGGTTTTGCGTATTTTCTTTGTATGAATGCTGATCTGTGAGGTGGCAGGGCGAGCGCTGCTAACGAGGATACGAGCAGCACGACCGACAGGTGGCAAGGGCTGCAAGTGCACATGCGAGACAACCGTGCAGCTGGCACAGTTTCTGGTGCCAAACCACATGCAGCCCCAAACCGCCAGCGGCTTGTACATACGACTCGGGGAGCCCGAGCCTCGCTCACGCGTGATCACGGTTTGTCCTTTCCGCTGAAGCACTAGGCTAGGGCAGTCAATCTCATCTTGTACATAGAGCTACTGAACCCTAGTGCTAGGTGCTTCGTCGTATGTTTCCTGCTTTTTCTCAATGTAATCCTGTTAAATCAACATGGGTAGAATTAAGAATGGCAGGAGCCAGCTAGTCGGCCCAGATGAGCTAGTGAAATTTTCTGAGTGAGTGGCCATGCTGGATCAAGCAGAGCCCCGAGCAAGGAGGCAAGGCAAGCACGAGCCAGAAGAGGGATAGAGAAAACATCAGCACCATGTCCAGAACAGATAGGAGCGCTGCAGAGCAATAGAGCAAGACGAGCACGGCAGAGTGGGTAACAGAGAGGCAGGGGAGCCAAGAGATTTCCGACAGCTTGCGCGCATCTCGGCTCTCATCAATGGTCAGGCTTTTAATTGTTAGAATCCCAACCACTAGACCATTGGGATAAAAGGGCTTGTTAATTAGCTGGTCAGTGCGCCCATAACCCCCCAGGCCAACGTGCCTGTAACCCTTCCCTAGGATCAATCGGGGATCTCCAGTGGACCTCTGACACCCCCCCGCACTGAGATGCCCGAGGTGCAAACACTGGGATTCGAACCCGAGACCTTCGCTCTGATACCATGTCAGAATCCCAACCACTAGACCATTGGGATAAAAGGGCTTGTTTCAGTAGCGGGTCAGTGCGCCCATAACCCCCCAGGCCAACGTGCCTGTAACCCTTCCCTAGGATCAATCGAGGATCTCCAGTGGACCTCTGACATTAATGGCGTAATTCCCTCGTTTGAATCAGCCGCCGCTGAGGCTCTGCGGCTTCCACGCCGTACCTACTTCAGGCATCACTATTCCTGGCTTTCCGCTAATGATGCGAGAATTTTCCGCTCCCTGTTTCTGATTACTGTTCGTCTGGCTAACAATCGCGCGATGGAAGTGAAGGTGTTTTCTGATCCTAACCTGGAGTTCACGATGGTCCGAGCCAGGGGCGACACCCACATGGTTCTCCGCAACGTGCTGCTGGGGTACTCCCCTGAACGACTGCGGAGCACTCTTCTGGCTGGCACGACCGACGTTGGGCAGCCTTGGCTCTCGGATATCCGCCTGTTTCATCGTCTCAAAGACCCGTATGATGACTATGCGTACTCCCAGCTGCTCGGTCTGCCTGTGGCTGCTGAAGGTGACGTCGGTTTCGAACGTATCCCCGCGTTTCTCTGGCTTCCGGGCCAGGAGGACCCTGTGCTCCTCAACATCTCGTCCCACTCATGCTCCGTGTGTTCCAGTAACCACCGTGTGTCCGACCATGCCTGCTTCGCCCTCACTCGTCGGGCACGTCTCCCCAACCGCCACACCATCTCGGTGTCCCAGCTGCAATCTGTCAACGGTACTTTACTCCTCTGTTTGCTGTTATTGCTTCCCGCTCGTTGGTTACCTACCGGTTCATTCAGATATGCTCCTGCTCATCAATTTGCGATTGATCACACTTCCCTTCCCCTTATCTCTTGGTACGTTGGTACCTTTCCTCCTCCTCTGGTTATTATTTTCAAGACCTTGAGGTTCCCCCTTCTCCGGGCCTTGTCGCCTTCCGCCCACTCTCGCAGGACGGCTGATTGGCCAGCAGCCTGCCCCCGCAGCTTTCAAGAAAGACCCAAGTCTTCTTCTCATCGGAGTGGACCCACGACGTCGAGGTCTGGACGTGCTCTCTGTGCGACTTCGACTGTGGCTTGGCGTTGGACAGCGCTATGTACCACATTGCCTCAGAGATTCACCGCAAGCGCCTGCAGGAATCGGCGCATCTGCCTGCTGTCAAGGAGAAATACGGAGCCTGGAGGGTCTCCACGCCGCTGCAGCACCCCCGTATCAGTGCATTCCTGCAGTAGTTGCCTCCTCGGTGGGCCGGGCTTTTGCTCGCGCTTGCTTTGCCTCCCAGCCGCATAACGGGCCTTATGGCTTACACTTTTGCCTTATCTTGTGCTTGTATCAGTTGCAAAAGAACTCAATTGCACTGGTGGGGCTTGATGCCTTCACTACATCTTTTCCTTCTTTTTTCCTTTACGCCCTGTGGATACACATGCTTTTGCATGTGAGGGCTTCACTCTGTTCCAAGTGTTAATCCCTCTCACCATTCGATGTATCAATGTCAACGGTCTGAATAAACAACAAAAAATGTATAATCTCCGCTCATGGGTATCAAAAAGCGAGAGGAAAGTTTATATATTGATTTTAGTCGACACTAGACTCACCCTCAACTTCCCCCGCCTCCTTCTATCCTTCAGACCCTCCTCTCGTGCTCAATGCCCCCCTCCTTTCACCGATCGTGCTAAGCCAGGAGGTCTTGCTATTTTAATTTCTAGCAAAAATATTTCTATTTCTTCTATCGATCCCTCTCCTGATGGGCGCTTGCTCTCGGTCCATATCAACTTCATGCAAGAGCAGTTCCATATTGTTGCTGTCTACGCCCCTAGCACAGTTACCCTTCGAAGGCAGTGGTGGCGCGCTGTTTCTGCCCCCGCTCTAGATATTCCTAGTGTAGCGGCCAAAACTATCTTGGCTGGAGACTTCAACGCGGTGTGTGCTCCAGAAGTTCGGAATCGATCACTTCTCAGCCATGAAATCTCATAAGGCAACATTCTGTCTACCATTCTCTCTAACCACGGCCTAAGTGATACCTTCTGAAAAAAAAATCCAACTGCCACCATGTTCTCTTTCTTTGCCATTCCTTGGAGCGATCAAGATGAGGATTGATCTCCCACTGCTTTCCGGCTAGACCGTATCTACATCTCCGACTCCCTGGCGTCTCGGCTCCTTGATGCTGCCTATTTCTCGGTATTTAAAGAGGTTTCTGACCACGATCTCGCCCCGTCCTGCTCTTTTCAATGTGACAGTCCTAACATAGCCCCCCGGCCTTGGCGCATTCCTCTGGCCATTTTACGATGACCGCAGATGGAACACATCGTCAACTCGGCATGCCGCTCTCTCTCTTCTCCTCTCTCCGCTGCAGATTGGGACCCATGGAAAATAACCCTTTGCAATCAAATCAAGTCTTTCGCCGGTCAGGAAAAAATCCGTGTCAGAAAAACTACTTCTCATTTGCATACTCTTACCTCTCAACTTTGTATTCACCTCGCAGTCAACCCAACTGACTTAGTAGCCAAGGAACGAATTCGTGTAGCCTCGCTACAATTCGAGCGATACGAAGCTAGTCGGTCTGCGGAGTTAGCACTGAAATCGAAACTCAACGTTGAAGGCCCACGGGAGATGAGCGTCTCCTCCCTGCTCGTCGGAGTAAATAGCAGAATTAAGGCATCTCTGATCTCCTCACTTCACTCCCCCTCAGGCTCTCCCGTCTCCGACCTCCCCGGTATGTCCTCCCTGTGCACCGCCTTCTTCCAACAACTGTATAGAGGCTCTCAACATGCGTCCCCCGACCCTTCCTTCTGGAATCTTGTTCCCCCCTCACAGGTTTATCCAGAGTCCTTCTCCTGCCTTTCGCTTCCTTTCTCCCTTGTTGAGGTATCAAAGGCTCTTGCCTCGCTCCCCAAAGGGAAAACCCCGGGGCCAGACGGTATTTTAGGAGTATTCTTTCGATCGTTCCGCACTCTCTTCACTCCTGCTCTTCACTCTCTATACCTTGGATCCCAGGACTCAGTCCATGTTGCAGGGACGTACAGTTCTTATACCTAAGAAAAGTGATGCTACCCTGGTTGATAACCTCATACCCATTACTCTTATGAACACGGATTATAAGATTCTGGCGATCTGTTTGGTTAACCGTCTGCAACCCCTCTTTCCCTCCCTCATCAATCACTCACAAACTGCCTTCATCAAGTCCCGGAAAATTGAGGACACGCTCAATGATACCCTGGACATTTTCGATTGGGCTACGGCACAGTCCCTTCCCCTATTTGCCCTTATGGTTGACATTCGCAAGGCATATGATATGGTTGATAGAGAATTCCTTTACTCCTGCCTCTCACATCTCGGCCTCCCTGCTCCCTTTATTCATTGGGTTAAAATGATGCACTCTGGCACCACTACCCGAATCTAAGTGAATAATTTATGTGCCCCCCCCATCCCTGTCAAGACTGGTGTCAGACAGGGGTGCCCACTAGCTATACTGCTCTTCCTCTTCGTAATTGAACTATTTCACCGTTACACCTCCTGATTCTTGCCTGGTTTTCCCATTTCCCGCACCCAACGCCGTTTGATGGCCTGTTATGCGGATGACGTCACAATTTTCCTTAACTCGGATTATGAGCTCCGTGTAGCCTCTCATGCCCTGCTTTCCTTTGCCTCAGTCTCGGGAGAGCACCCAAATTGGGCCAAATGTTTCCTCATTCCCTTCAATTTCAATCATTCTGATATTACCCGCGCAGGCGATATCCCCATCCGTCTCCCGTCGGAGTTCGAGAGGATTCTCGGTATATTTGTGGGCAGCTCTGGCCTCACAGACACCACCTGGAACCTCACACTGACCAAAATTAAGCGTTCTGCCAATCTCCTATCCAACCTCCACGCCACTTCTTCGTGCAGGAAGCAGCTGTCCTCGGAGAATCTTAACTCAGCTCTCTCCTTCCCAGGCCGGTTTCAACCTCCTCCCTCGCCCACCACTGGAGCTCTGGATGACGCGGTGGGCAACTTCTTATCTGCATATAAGTTCAAGTCAGCGGGACGCACCACGCGCCTCCTCACTCACACGGTCCTCTATAATAAAGTTGAACACGGGGGATTAGGGGCAATTCGCCCTTCCGCGCAAACCAAAGCCCTGAACATTCAACTCGCCCTCCGAAGGTTCTCCCCTCACCCTGGCGCCGCGGTGGCCAGAACGTGCGTGCCCATTCCCTTTGGCTTGCAAGGCTTTCTCCTACATTCTGATTTCGTCTCTGTTCTCCCTCCCTCCACCCCCACCCGGCTTCGGGAAGAAGTCAAATGTCTTTTGGAATTGCAAATTGAGGTCTCCCCCCCCCCCGATTGGAATTCCGGTGCATTTTAACTGAGCCAGTACCCTTTAACAGGTTCCTTAACAACCCTGGCGGCCGTCCTTTTGGACGAATTCAAGACGAAGCCTTCCTGCTCACCGAAGAAGTGCGGGTTGGGCATATCCTTCGCCGGGACGCCACTGGAGCTCGTCGTCTTACTGACCATGAAATAATGGCCCAGTACCCCCCCCCCAGAAATATCCGTGCAGTCGCAGAATCATCAAGGAAATTTACGATGCCATGTCCAAGGAATGGTGGGCCGCTTTGGCGTCGTCTCATACCCTCGCCCCCCTGTATCCATGTGATTGGGTTATGCTAGCGAGAAATATGTTCTCCCCGCCCAGGCTCGTGTTTGAAGTGGAGGACTGCCCTTCCGATGACAGTGTTTACGCTAACGTGTACGAGGTTGATGAAACAGGTCGTATCGGGAAAGTAGCCGTGGCGCGTCAGCTTCTCTCGACGTTTAACACGGTCCCGATCCACGTCTTCGACAGATGGCTAGGAGGCTCCTACTGCTCAGGAGCTGGGCTGGCTGCCCGTTTTCCTCTTCTCTTTGATGGCATCCCGTCACTAGCCGCCATACGCGACCTCTCCTATGTCCAACAGGATTTGACGCACCCGCACAGATGGGCCAATTTGCTGCCTGATCCTGGCCCACCTCTCTTCCCGGACCTCAAACATGCCTTCCTCTCTGAGCAGCCTTCGCCTCAACGGGACGTACTATTTCGTCTCTACGCGCTGGCTCTTCCTTCTGGGTCCAGATTCAGCTTTGCGCGCGACAAAGGCGTATGCGCAGGTTGCAACAGTGGTCAACTAGAAACTCTCCCCCATCTGCTGTTCGAGTGCGGAGTAGCAAGACCGATTACCGAAGCCCTACAACGTACTGCCTAGCTTCATTTGGGAGTATCTACCTCATCTGAGTTAACACTATTCCCACTCGCGGCATCGGCTGGGCAAGGCGCCCCGTGGAGTTTACTTGTGGGTGCGGCGGCGAAAACAATCTGGAATGAGAGGTGCAGCTTTCGATATAGACAGGAGGTCACCAAAAGTGCAGCTCTTTTTAAGGTTCTACACTACTTCCTCCTCGCTTAAAAGATTCTCATTTGGAAGCTCTCCAACGGCTTTAAGAAGAAGAAACATAAGGCCATCAGGATTGCCAAGCAAGCTCAATCTCATCGCTTCTTCCTGTTCCCGGAACCCAACCGCCCAATCATCCACCCCAAGCTCCGTGACACCTGGCTCCTCAATGACGTTTTCCACCCTCCCTGAATTCCGGCTCCAGCTCTTCCACATGCTGGCTAGAGATTTGTCCTGGGACATCTCTGCTTCTGTAGCAGGAGGATAACGTGTTCACACGTGCTCCCTACGGGGAGCTAGGCTCTGCTTGTATCCTTCTCTAGTTGCATGTTTGTAAAAAGGTCAGGACCTTATAAAAACCTTTAAAACCTAGTTGGCGGGCTAGGATGACTTTCCCGCCAGCCTGCAAGTCACTTACGCTTCACCCTGACGCTTTTCCCCGCCTCTGGGCCCTCGAAATGCCACCCACGTATCACCGAACGCCACCCTACACCACCTCACTTAAAACTTCCGTTATCGTATCCTTCCCTCCACCGCTGAACCTGTTTCAAACAGCCTTTTCAAATTTCGAACTTTCATTTTCTCCTCGTAAAAAGGAATGCCATGCAATTCAGAGGCATGCTCGTGCGCTTCAGACTCGCGCACCGAAGCTCCTGACACTTCGTATAAAGGATAGATGTCCCTTTGCAGCTTACGGAGAACAAGCCATCCCCGTTATTCAATCAGTTATCGACATTTAGAGACTCCCTTACCGCTTATCGATTAACTATCGCCCATTTGGAGTCCCCCTTTTACGGATCTCCTTGCAATGGCGAGCTTCGGGACTCCCGAGGCTTTCCAAGCCATGCGAATGGTTTTAGGCACCGAGCTGTCTGAAACGTCCCTAGTCAGAGCGCTCTACCTCGCGCGAGGCGACGTCGCCAAGGCGATCAATTACCACTTAGACCTAGTTCATGTTGAAAGGTTCACTCTCGAGCAATTGGCTTCATCGCGTCACCCGCTTCCTCTCGCCTCCCCTCCGCCGAAAACGCGCGGAGAGCTATTAGCGCTTCCGTCACCCCTTCCAACCCCCACTTCCGCCACCTCACCGCCTGCCTCCCCGCGTCCCCCTTATGTAGCCGCTGCTTCTGTAGCAGAGAATACGATCGGAGAGAAAAATGCGCCGGAGGATGCGGGAGCGGAAATGGGGGAAGCCGCGATGCCGGAAGCGGGCACAGCCGTTGATCCTGCGGAACGCGGAGGAGACTCCGCGCCTTTCGAGGTAGAGGCGACTCGTCGGACGGGCGCTCTCACAGGCGGAGACTGCACATCACATTCCCCGTGCGAGGCGCCGTCGTCACCAAATGCTGGCGCCTCACCGCCCGCAGCATTGAGCCTTTCCCCCGACAGCATCCGCGAGCCCGCGCGTTCAGAGTGGGAGAACCATTTCTCTGAGGGGAATGGTCTGATTGGCGCAGCCCCCTCGGTGGGCGCACCCTGCGCCGCAGTTTCCCCCAACGTTGCGCCAACCGATGGCGCAGTCCCCCCCACGTCGAGCATTTCCCCGGACAGCATCAATGAACCCGTTTGCTCCGGCGCGAATATTGGCTTTGAGCGGAGTAGTGAGTTTGGTGGAGAGTGCGCAACCCGAAACCCCGACCAACCGCCTGCTGACTCCCCCCCGCCAGACTCGTTGGATGCGCCTGATTCACTGCCGCCGGTATCCGCAGTGCTATCTCCATCGGCAGTGCCGCCCACATCTACAGTATCACCTGTAGCTACGGCTCAAGCCGGTTCTGCAGTTCCTCCCGTATCTACAATTGCTCCCGTAACTACAGATGTTCCTATATCAACGGCTCCTGCCATATCTACCGATGCTCCCTTATCTACAGATGCTCCCGTAGTTTCAGATGCTCCCATAGTTTCAGATGCTCCCATATATACGGCTCCTCCCATATCTACAGTTGCTCCTGTAGCTACTGCAATCCCTCCCGTATCTGAAGTGCCACGTCAGCAACCAGTACCCATCGACGCCCCTCCGCATCCGAAGCTGATGAAGCATTGGAGAGAGGAGAAGGCGGAAGCTTCACACTGGTGGCTCCTGGGAGAGCGCCACGTGCCCTGCGTCTCGCTGACACGTGGCGCCAAGCTGGAAGCGTACGATCCCGTGGATTTCCACTTCCCGAAAGGCGAGGCGAGGGGCAATGGTGAGGGGGGCGGACGGGTTGGCGGAAAGGAGGGCGGAAAGGAGGGCGGAAGGGGGCGCGGAAGACCGCCCAAGTGGGCAAGCAAGGGGAAGTGGAGCAAGACGTCCGGTGGGAGCGCCATCGTCCGCTTTGGAACCACCAGAGGAGGGGAGGTATCCCGCTCTCCCTCCCTCCCACTTCTTTGTTGGTTTTCTTCCCTTGCTCCTTCTCTCCCTCTCTCCGTCTCCCCCTCTCACCGCCTCTCCCTCTCTTCCTTTCTCTCCCTCTCCCCCTTTTTCGCGCGGGTGCCAGGTGGGATCGCTGCCGCGGGAGTGGGCGGCGGCGCTGATACCACTGCAGGCGGAGCGGAAGGTGAAGCTGCGCGGCTACGTGCGCTCCGCCCCGCCATGCCTGGACATGTTCTCAGGCATCGAGCTCACCGTCAGGTGCGCCCTTATCCTCAATTCATACGGCCCCGGCCCATATGTCTGATCCTCGAGTCATACGGGCCCGGCCCATTGTTCATTCTTCGTTGCTCGTTGCTCCCTGGCTGGCAAGGTGTACGTGCAGCAGTGCTGTTTCGAGAAGCTCACCCGGGTGAAGGAGCGGGTTGTTGAGGCGGTGCGTGTGATGTGAGCACAGCCGCGCACATCACCACGCTGCTGCCCACTGCTCACTGTTCATTGCGCGCGTTGCTCATTGTTCATTGCTCGTTGTTCCTTCCCTTGCTCCCTGGCAGGGTGTACGTGCAGCAGTGCTGCTTCCAGAAGCTCACCCTGGTGAAGGAGCGGGCAGCAGACGCGCTACACGTCAGCACTGCCGCCCACATCACCATGCTGCTGCGCTTCCTGAACCTGCGACCGACCCGCCCGGTGGGTGCTGTCTAGGAGAGTGGATTGTTCAGGCATGGGACGTGAGAGCACAGCCTCTCACCACATCACCACGCTGCTGCGCTTACCGAGCCTGTGGCCGACCCGCCCGGAGGGTGATGGAAACGGCTTGTGAGATACCATGTGTAGCATTCAATGCATGCTCAGAGCAGGTTGCAGGAAGGTGAATCAAGTGTCTGATGATCCGATCTGAAGCAGCAGCAGCAGTAGCAGCAGCAGAAGCTCATTCATCCCATCAACTACTCCCACAACCACACATCTGTCATCAGGGTTCCCGTTGTAACCACTCCTCAACCTCCACTCCCCCTTCCGCCTGCGCACCCGCTCCCCCCACTTTCTTCCCCCATACTCCCCCCTTCCCCACGCCTCCTGCTGCGGTGGGTGCAGGCGGAGTTCACACCAGCAGACTTCAATCGCCATACGGAGAACCTGGGCTTTGGCTCCGGCTGTACTGATCGGGTAGGCACCTGGGCTTGGGCTTTTGAGTCGACTCAAAAGTCACCTCGCAGAACCTGCGCTTTGGCTCCGGCTGTACTGACCGGGTAGGCACCTGGGCTTGGGCTTTGCTGACTGATGAGCAGTCTAGTTTTGAGGCGCCTGAAAACAAAACTAGGTTTGAGGCGCCACAAAACTAACCTGGGATTTGGCTCAAGCTGTACTTACCGGGTAGGCACCTGGGATTAGGCTTTGCTGACTGATGAGCAGCCTTAGCGTGCTGACTGATGAGCAGCCTTAGCGTGCTGACTGGTGAGCAGCCTTAGCGTGCTGACTGGTCACAAGACAAGCTGCGTGCGTTTCCATAGTGGATGAGGAATTGAAGCGGTAGAGACTGGGTGGGCTCGCATGAAGCAACTCTTTCCTTGATTTGGTATCTGTCGCACACACTCACCTATGTGTTACCCACTGGCAATCTTCTGTCACCCACTCACTCTTGTGCTTCTTAACCCCACTGCCCTCCCCCATCCCCCCTCCGCACTCCCCTCACACCCCTCCCACTGCCCTCGCACCACCCACCCCCCCCCCCACTTGCGCTCATTCGATCTGGCAGCAGGCGGCGTCTAAGAGGGTGCGGGCGACTGTTGCAGGGGGTGAGAGCAACGAGGAGGGCGAGGGAGAGGCAAGGTCGATGACAGACGAGGAGGTGAACCGCTACGTGGGTGTCACCACCAACAACCAGGCGCTGCCGGTGAGAGGGGGGGACTGGTAGCACTGCCTGGTGGCTTTTGAGTCAATTCAGAGGGCAATCACACGCAAGGAGGAGGTGAACCGCTACGTGGGTGTTACCACCAACAACCAGATGGGGTGGGGACGCACAAGATGGGGGTGGGGACACACAAGACGGGGGTGGGGAAACATTACAAAGCTCCCTTCACTTCACTGACTGCTTTTTTTTATATGCATTCCACGCTGCCTCAAAACTCTCTGCTACAATATCTGTTTGCTGCAGGACACGCTACTCACGCCTTTTCCCTCTCTGTCGCCTGTCACGCGGCTGTTGCCAGGAAATGGAGCCTCCCCCGGGTGTGACCTCGCAGCTGCGGTGCTACCAGAAGCAGGCGCTGCACTGGATGCTGTCCATGGAGGCCCTGGGACAGACTGTGCCCAGCAACGGCCAGCCCGTGTCAGGGAATGCTGCTGATGGTGGTGACGGTGGCAAGAGGACGCGTGCACGGGATGAGTGTGATACACTGCACCCGTGTTGGGAGGAGTACACTCTACAGCACAAGTGCATTTCCGTTTGAGACTTAACCCCCCCCCACGCCCACATTGCGCACCTTGCACCTTGCACACTGCACATTGCACCCGTGTTGGGAGTACACCCTACAGCACAAGTGCGTGCGAGCGTCCGAGACTTAACGGCCGCCCGCAGTGTGCAATTCGCAGAGTGCAGTGCCTGGGGCGTTAAGTCTCGGCCCACCACAACATGATCATTCGTTTCTGCACATTTCACATTGCACATCCCATACCGCACTGCACTCTGCAAATTGCACTCTGCACCGCATGTGTTTCAGATGCATAACTCTGCATTCTTCTTCGAGTTTGCATTGTGTAAAGAAACTATGGCACATGTACTTGTTGCTATTATCGCCCATTCAAGAACGAGGTTATTTCTTTTGAATTCTCTAACCAATCTCATCTCATTATTACACTTGCTTTTGAAGCACCTCTCCTTGCCCTCATCCGTGCTCCCCCCTAATAGCTTTCCACATTCCCCTTTCAACTCCTTCTAACCCTCACTCCCCTCTTCCTCTCCCCTCTCCCTCGTTTCTTCATCTCTTCTTACCCAACCCTCTCAGTGGTGGCACACCGTTCTACCACAACGTTTTCTCAGGGGAAGTTACCCTGGAGTTTCCAAGCGCAATGGAGAGGAGCAGGGGAGGGGTGAGTGGGAAGAAACAGAGGATGGTGGGGGGTGATTTCGGGAATGGTGGTGAAGGGGAAACGGGATTCGAACATTGGGCCTATGGGTCCAAACGAACAGTTATTGTGACATTCCTTCTGATTCTCCACATATATCGAGTCCTCGTTTGAACTTCTCCACACCTATGCCCCCCCCTGCCCTTCACCCCCTGTTTCGCTCGCCTTTCTCCAGAAAGTTCTCGCTCCATTCAGTTCCCGAGCTGGTTTTTGAGAATTCTCAAAAACCTTTCTCCAGAAAGTTCTCGCTCCATTCAGTTCCCGCACTGGCTCTGATAAACTCGTCTTCCCTCTTTCCCTTCCCCCATCCGTCCCACCACCCATGTTTCACCGTCCCTTGGTTCAGATTCTAGCTGACGCCATGGGTCTGGGCAAGACGGTCATGACCATTGCTCTCATTGCTGCGAGCAAGGCGAACAGAGAGAGGGAGAGGGCGAAGGGACCAGGGGGGAAACCGGGAGGAGTGGTGGGGAAGATGGAAGGAGGAGGGGTGGTGAAACAAGTGAGGGATGGGAGACGACACGGAAACATAAACGGAGCATGTTCTGTTGCAATCGTTGCTGCTTTTAAAGAGGATGTGGCCGCAGTTGGGAGTGCTAAGCGGAAGAGAGGGGAGTGCAGTGCGGTGGTGGGAGCAGGGAGAGGGATTCGTGTTGGTTCAAGGAGGAAGAAGCGAGTGAAGAGGGAGGTGGAGGAAGGGCCAGGAGAGGGAGGTGATGTAGCGTTCTTTGACTATGATTATACCGATGAGAATGAGGATGAGAAGGAGGATGAGGATGGGGATGAGGAGTATTTGCCTGGTGGGGAAGGCGATGATGGTGGTGGTCGTCGTGATCGTGCCGATGTTGGCAGTTCTGACAGCGATGGTGGCGGTGCTGACAGCGATGATGCAGAGGTGCAGGAAGTTGGCGGTGAGATGTGGAGAGCAGAGGAGTCATTAGAAGAGACACAAGCGGAGATGCAAGAGGAGGGTGGTAGGGAGGTAGAGGAGTGGAGAGGCCGGGGCGTGTACGGCAGCAGGCCCAGGGACAGGAGGGTGCGAGGAGGGACGCTCATTGTGTGCCCCATGTCGCTCCTCAGCCAGTGGAAGGTGCGCCATCTGCCCTCAATCCCACGCCTTCTTTCCAAAAGCCAATTGCAGTGATGGCGTGCTCGCAGTGATGGCATGCTATGGCTCTCATCTCAGCGGAGAAAATACAATTACTCCCTTTAGGTCAGCTCTCAATTGTGCTCTTTCTCGTTCCTCTCCCCCGCTTCCCCTCCTACCCTCAGGCGGAGTGTGAGGCGCACACAGCACTGGGTGTGCTGTCAGTGATGGTGTTCCATGGCTCGCAGCGGCGCGACTCAGATCCACCCTCTCTCTGCCACTCTTTCCCTTTCCCCACCCCATCCCTCAGGCGGAGTGTGAGGCGCACACTGCGCCTGGTGTTCTGTCAGTGATGGTCTATTACGGGTCTCAACGGCAGGATGAAGCTCGCCTGCTGGCACAGCACGATGTGGTGATCACCACCTACGGCACGCTGCAGGCCGAGTACAAGGTGATTAGATGATGTTTTCTTGGGGCACTCGAATTCATCGCATCGTCTCACCCCTTTCCTCACCTCCAGCGTGTTTCTGAATCGCCTCATATAAAACCACCCCGTTCTCCCCCCATGCTAACCTTCCACCTCCCATCATTTCACAGCACTACAACCAGCACACGGGAGAGGACAGTGTTGCAGCACAACAAGCATGTGCAGCAGGAGACTTTTGAGACGTTTTAAAAGACCTTCCCCTACCCCCCCATTCACCCCCGACACCTCCCACCATTTCACAGCGCTACAACAAGCACACGGCAGAAGACAGTGTGGCATCAGCAGCAGGAGCGGCAGGAGCTGCAGGGGCGGTGCCACAGGGCCCGCTGCATAGTGTGCAGTGGTGCAGAGCGGTACTGGACGAGGCTCACTGCATCAAGAATCGCGCGTCTGGTGCTGCTGCTGCTACGTTCGCCCTGCAAGCTGATTCCCGCTGGTGCCTCACTGGCACGCCCATCCAGGTGAGCGGCGAGGAGGGGGAAGTGGGTGGAGGGGGGGGGGAAGGAGAGGGGGTGGTTCTCTGCGTCAAGAATTGATCGTCTGGTGCTGCTGCGCTGCGCCCACCTTGGCCCTGCAAGCTGATTCCCGCTGGTGCCTCACAGGCACGCCCATCCAGGTGAGTGGGGAGGAGGGGGAAGTGGCTGGAGGGGGGGGAAAGGAGAGGGGGTGGTTCTCTGCATCAAGAATTGCTCGTCTGGTGCTGCCGCTGCCACCTTTGCGCTCCAAGCTGATTCCCGCTGGTGCCTCACAGGCACGCCCATCCAGGTGAGAGGAGGGAAAAGGGGGGGGGAGTGGGGTGATGGGAAAGGGGAAGGGGCGGGTGGAAAAAAGTGCGTGATGTTCACAGTGTTACGCGTTGGTTGATCCAGTGAGTCACTGCTGCTCTCTGTGCCCAGTTCGGTTGACTCAAAGGCCACCTGATCTTTGCTTGGCGTGGCGTGGCATGACCTGGCACACGATGTGGCATGACATGGCGCACGACGTGGCATGACGTGGCAGAACCAACTGGAGGACGTGTACAGTCTGCTGCGCTTCCTGCGGGTGCAGCCGTGGGACAACTGGGGGTGGTGGCAGCGCCTCGTGCAGCAGCCGTACGAGCGAGGGGACATGCGCAGCATCAAGTTGCTGCAAGGGCTGCTCAAACCACTCATGCTGCGACGAACCAAGGAGTCAAAGGACAGGTAATGTTGTGCTAAGATAGGTTGTCTTGGGCGTGTTATCGTTGGATGTAGGATGGAGCTTGATGGTAAGGTAAGTCAACCTGTTGTCGGGATTAAAGGCGTCTCTGAACCTGTAGTCAATACCAATGCACCCACGCTCTACATCTTTCTAAACCCATTGTGCTCCATTTTGTGAATCTACTTTTCTGCTGTGTGTTTAAACCGTTATCAGGGACGGATTTTGAGGTGCCATGTGAATTAGCCTTTCTGCCGTGTTTTTCACTCATCCTTGTCATTTTCAGGGAGGGGAAGCGGATACTAGTCCTGCCGCCCATATCTTACCGCGTGATCTCGTGCGACTTCTCCCCGGAAGAAAGGGACTTCTACGACGCGCTGCATAATAAGTCCAAGGTTTGTCACCCGGCTGAATCAGTCCAAAGTTTGCCGTTCGGCCCAATAAGTCCAAGGTTTGCCACCCTGCCAGGCCACAGGCCCGGCCGGCATCATGGCCATCCATCGTGGCAGTCACATCATTCTCGTTTTTTGGAAAGCCTTGCTTTGAACTGACTCCTTGTTTTTGTCCCATTTGCAACCTTCCCCTTTTCTTACAAAGACTTGGAAGTTGTTCTGTGTGCCCGCCGTGGCCTGCTCCCCTGATCGCCCCCCCACCAGGTCAAGTTTGACAATCTCGTGGCACAGGGAAAGGTGTTGCACAACTATGCCTCCATCCTTGCCTGCCTTCCTCCTTCCCCATCCCACTCTATCACGCGTTCTCGACTGTCTCTGCGCCCCAACCCTCTCTCCCTCTCCCACCGCCCCCCACCAGGTCAAGTTTGACAATTTCGTGGCACAGGGAAAAGTGCTGCACAACTATGCCTCCATTCTTGAAATGCTGCTGCGCCTGCGCCAGGTGGGTGCAGAGTGGTGCTGCTGGATGCAGAGTGGTGGTGGTGGGTGGTGGGTGCAGCAGGTGGGTGCTGATGGTGGTGGTGTTTTGCATAATTATGCCTTGAGCATGCATGTAGCCATGCTGTCATGTATGCATCACATGTGCTGAACTGTACATCTGGTGTGCGTCGTTTCCCTGTCCTCCTTTCTTCCCTTCCCTCGATCCCACTAATGCACCAATCAGGTCTGCGACCACCCGTTTCTCGTTTTAAGCCGCTCCGACACAATGGACGACGAGGACCTCAGCAAGCTGGGACGAAGGTTCCTCGCAGCTTCCTCACTGGGAGCAGCAGGTGCTGCTGCTGGTTGTGCTGCTGCTGCTGCCGACGCTGCTGCTGCAGCTGCAGGAGCATGGGGTGAATCAAGCAGTGACCCCAATGGGTGGGATGAATCCCACAAGGGCCCATCGTGGGAGTATGTGCAGTCAGTATTAGAAGGCCTCAAGAGGAGGAGGGAGGGGTTATCGCAGGGAGGGGACGAGTGTCCGGTGTGTCTTGAGGCAGCAGAGGACGCGGTGTTCATGCCCTGTGCGCACATTGCGTGCCGCGAGTGCCTGCTCACCGCCTGGAGGCCTTCAGTCAATGGCCCTTGTCCTGTCTGCCGGTACGTGTGCCGTGCCTTTTTAGTGTTTGCTTGCTTGTTTATTTAAATATATCACCTAGTGAACTGAACTCGTCAGAGCTGCATGATAACCTTTTGGAGACATAATGGTACATTTTCTGTCACTTTTTGCTCAACCTTTTGCCAAACACAATCCCTCTTGTGTTGCCGCTACATGCGTTTTGATTCTACTAAAAAACCATTTCCCCCTGCGTTCCCCCAACACTCCTCCCTCCTGCCAACACCCCCCAATCCAGTCGGCAAATCCTGCGCAGCCAGCTCATCACAGTGCCACGTGCCAGCCGCTTCTCATTGGACGTGGAGGCCAGCTGGCAGGACTCTGTGAAGGTCCGCCAGCTGTTACAGTGCCTGGGCGAAATCCGGGCGGCGTCGGCTCGGCAGGGATCGAATGGGGGGGGAGGAGGGGAGAAGAGCGTGGTTTTCAGCCAGTGGACGGCCTTTCTTGACCTTTTGGAGATTGCATTCAAAAGGTGTGTAGAAGGGTCAATAATTAATGAGGTGGAACGAAAAGGTGTGAAAGAGAACTGGCAGGCAAGCACAGCACAGACAAGCGAGAGGGCAACTGGGAGGGACTCGCTTCTAGGGCCTGAGAGTGAGGACATGAGAACAAGGTTTCGGAACCACTGGTGTAAAGCTTTGGGCTATTCCTGATTTTCTTTCTCCTTGTTGCTGTCTCCCTCCCCATCCATTGGTAAATATAGGGCCAAGGTGCCATATGTGCGGCTGGATGGCAGCATGTCACAGCAGCAGCGGGAGAGGGCAATAAACGAGTTGAAGGATAACCCCAAGGTGGAGGTGCTGCTGGTGTCACTCAAGGCAGGCGGCGTGGGGCTCAACCTCACTGCTGCCTCCCACGCCTTCGTCATGGTATGTTCTAAAACTCCAAAACATGCGCTCCTCTTGGTATCTTCATGGTATTTTTAAAAACTGAAGAACATGTGTTCCTCATGGTATCACCTCTCTCCTGTCTGTTCTGTGCTGCATCCAACCCCTTAAAACCAGTGGTGGAACCCGTCAGTGGATGAGCAGTCCTGATGAAAGCACTGATCAAAGCACCACCTTTCACCCTTGTGTTCTTTGCTTCACCCTACCCAACCCCTCAGGACCCCTGGTGGAACCCGTCAGTGGAGGAGCAGGCTGTGATGCGTGTGCACCGCATAGGGCAGACTCGCCCTGTTACAGTAACGCGCTTCATAGTGCGTGACTCGGTAGAGGAGCGCATGCAGAAGGTGCAGCTGCGCAAGGATCAAATGGTGCAGGGAGCGCTCATGGACGATGGTGCGCGCAGCGCACGGATCAATGAGCTCAAAATGCTCTTCAGATAAGCTTGATTTCAACAAGGCAATCTTAAAAAACGACGATGGGGTGCGCAGCGCAAGGGCTTACAAGCTCCAAATACTCCTCAGATATGCTAACACAGGTGTTTGCTGGGGTAAATGTCATTATTAACGTAGTCAATGCGTATGTAAAGTGAAATGTAGGTAGATGACACTTCAGCAGCTGAAGTTGTAATCAAGATTGCAGTGAGTGCATTGAATGGGTTGTTTCATTGGCAGTGAGATCAGCGGGATTAACGTTCCCAGTCTTTAAATGGAGCAGACTGGGCCTGTGGCGGAAGCATTTGTTGCCATAGCATGTGCTGCGCTGCTGGTTATTGGGGGCTTCACATGATGAGTAGGGAGGAGGAATGGAATGGGGGCCTAATGGTCCAAAAAACAGGACATGTTCTTCAAGTCCTCTCCCGTGAGGTTGACTCACAGTTACTGGTTGATACACTTCCGCCAGCTGTTGACGGGTCACGGGACTGAGAGTTGAGTTCTTTCAGCTTTAAACTTGAGTCATGCAATGCAAGGCTATGAATGAGCAGCCTGAACATGAGCACGATGAATGTACAATATTGAGGGCCTGTTTCGTTAGTGTCACATTTCCATATTATCATCATCTACGTCTTCCTGCTGGAAGCAGGTGCCTGCTGCACCTGTTGCCTGCGATGACTGGTCATGTTGCGATGGTGGTAACCCATTTCGTGACTCATGAATGCCACGCGCCTGGCTGAAGCTGGAAAACGACGAGCTTGATTCACCTTCTCCAGTGCCCCCCCACCCCCGCGCTCCTCCCCACAATCCTGTTCCGCCCGTTTCCCCCGACGAAGACTCACACGAGCCCGCTCCCCCACATTCCGCGCGCTGTTGCGGATACGAGGCCATCCCCCCCGTAGCGCACGCTGACGCGCAGCCGGCTGCTACGGACGTGCCCGCGGTTGCCGTATATAACCGTTGCGATTGCGACTCTTGCCAGCCATTCGAGCCGCTCGCGCCACTGCTACAGCCGCTCCCGGTCCAACTTGCGCACATGCCCTCGGGAGCGTTTCTCGCCGCATTGTCCGCCGCGTCGAGCGCAGGATGCTGCGGCGGCGCCGACGCGATCTGCATGTTCCAGGCGCCCCACCGGATGTGCGGAACGCGCAGCCACGGGCTTGACCAGGACAAACGCGGGACGGTCACGGTCAACGACCCCACCGTGTGCGCTGCCGTCGCGCGCTCCGGACTCGCGTCAAACGGTAACTTAAAGCGGCATCCGAACTTCCACGGATTGGATATCGACGAATGAATGCTGCTACTGCTGCAGCTGCCGCAGCTGTTGCGGAAAGAACTCGTGCCTGGCGGTGCCGGGAGCAGCGAGCGCTCGCAATGACGCGAGCAAAAAATGGTTAGAAGCGCACCATCACGGCACAGATCAGGATCGCCGCCATCCACGTCGGCGGCAGCAAATCCCCTCATTCCGCAGGCTCCCCCTCCGCCGTTCCGACCCGCAAACCGGCCAGGATCCCCTCCCTGATGAGCGCAACCGTTTGGGCAAGGCGAGCTCGACCGTCCAGGTTCATTGGACTCAACTCGTTCCACGACCACCTCCACCTCCTCCTGGCGCAACCCGTCCCTTTGAACTTCAAACGAATACGTTTCTCCTGTCTCCGATATAAGCCACGTGGGCTTCCGGACGTCACCCTGGTACTCCTTGATAATCTCAAACTCGATAGTGGTGAAGGAGGGAGCGAACTCCCCGCTGTGCCGAAATGGCTTTCCTCGACATGAGCTTGTGTCGTACGGCTGCGGTGCTGTGGGTCTGAATATTCCCCGTGACCTACGGGACGCCATACCAGCTGCGTTCCGCCGAAGGCGATTAAACGACCAAAAAGCCAATTATTTTGCGTCGAAAGGCGCGACGATAATAAAGTTGACTGGAGGTGCTACTGCAAGGTCAACCTAGGTGTAGCGGCCTGTAGTCCTCAGCTAGAGAGCGTCTGCTGCAAAGAGGTAGTGGAGGGGAAGGCCAAGTCATTTCCAGAGCATTCAGGCTATATTTTTATTACAAGGTAAGTCATAAGAAGGGTGCTTGCTATAGGCAATAGTCGATAACGAACAGTGCTTTTTCTTAGGCCAAAGGTGAAGGACAAAGGTGAAGGTGAAGGTGAGGGTGGAAAGCATAGCGCAATGAAGGGGAGTGATGGGTGATCAGGGAGGGGATTCACGACTGCTTGGGGGAAGAATCGAGCTTGTTTGTTCGGCTGCTGTTCCAGGATCCAGCTCAGCTTCACAGGGGCTTCGAGTTCCTTCGAAGTTATATTATTGGCCGCGAAAGTGGCGATGCTTTTGCGATTTTCGTGCTTACTGGAACTAGGTTGCGGTAATTCGGCGAACGCCCATATTCGCTAGGTGAGGCAAGCTGGTTGGTGATCAGCAGAACTCTTCGTGACTCGTGTCGCACATCACATCCCCGTCAACTCGTCAAACTCGACTCGACTTCCTAGAGTGCCATTGGAGGAGGTCTGTTCGTACTGGCAAAGTTTGTGTGTTCCCAGCCACTCGAATCAGCTTCTAGGAGCTTCCACTATCCATTTGGGTTGACGCATTTGGCAACACGGCTCCCCGTATCATACCCGCCACAAGCTCATCATTTACTACGCTTAAACCGCCACTAAGTAATCGGAACTAGTACAGCAGAAAGCATCACATCCTACGCTCCCATTCAGAAACGTTATCCTAAATTGTTCCAACCAATATTAGAGTGCTGGTATTTTTTCTGGTGACACGTCACGGTCCATGACGTGGCATTGATAGACAGTTCTGTGTGACGACATGTCCCTCCCCCGTCATCACATTCTAATTACCCCCCCGGGTCCCCGACTTTCTCCCACCCCTCCCTCGGGATTTTCCCAATCTTACCCCATCTCTTTCAAAATGCTTCCCATCCCTCACCACCGATTTGCCGCCACATCACGCCTGACCCAAGCCCCCTCCCTGAGTCTCCCCCCCTCTTCTCCACCCTCACCTTGCCACCACCTTCATGCACTTCTCTCCCACCCTGACTTGTCGAATTAGGGTTTTCGCATTGCCGGACATGGCGCTCGCCTGTCCGTCCTCCGTGTCCTTTAAGTCCTTCCAAGGGCTCAAGGCCAGTCCTGCTGTCTCGTCCCAAGCCCGCATTAGTCGCTCCAATGTAGCTTTCCCGAACGCCGCGTCTAAGCGTCTGGTAGCCGTCGCGGCCGTCGCAGAGGCACCAGCAGCTGCCGGCCCGGCAGTTCTGCCCGTCCTGACGATGGACGGCGCGAACTCCGGCAAGACGGCAGAGCTGAACCTGCGGACTGCACGGCCGGAGACGGCAAAAGCCGTTGTCCACCGCGCCGTGGTCACCTACATGCAGAACAAGCGCGCGGGTACCGCGAGCACGAAGACCCGCGCGGAGGTGCGGGGAGGCGGGCGGAAGCCGATGAAGCAGAAGGGAACCGGCAGCGCGCGCCGGGGATCTCAGCGAACGCCGCTGCGCCCCGGTGGTGGTGTGGTGTTCGGGCCTAAACCCAAGGACTGGACTATTAAGATCAACAAGAAGGAGAAGCTGCTCGCCGTGGGGACCGCTCTGCAGAACGCGGCGACCGCGAATGGCGGCGCGAGCTTCATCGTGATCGAGGACGTCCACGACAAGGTCGCGGCGCCTAAGACTAAGGACTTCGTCGCGGCGCTCGCGCGGTGGGGCGTGGATTACAAGAAGGACCACGCGCTGCTGCTTACCGGCGAAGCTTCGGAGAACCTGCTGCTGTCGACGCGGAACATCGAGAATCTGAAGGTGGTGACGCCGAACGCGCTGAACATCTACGACGTGCTGCGCGCCGATAAGCTGCTGGTGACGGAGTCCGGGCTTGAGTACCTTAACCAACGATTCGGCGATGACATTCTGTTCGTAGATGGCGAGGATGAGGAAGAGGGAGAGGAGGCGTCGGATGCTTAGATTCGTTGAGGGGATGAAGGGGCGGATGCCAAGAATGGGAATAGCAGGGCTTGCAGGGTTACCATGCTGGAAAGTGAAGCAGACAGGTGGACTAGAGTTGCGGTGGGTGAGAGGTAGGGGAAACGTTCACTGGCCTTGGGTTAGTGTTATCTAGCCTACGGTAAGCTTCTGCTGCTGCTGCTGTCACATTTTACATTTTTCTGAGGCATCTCCGCCTATGGCTCTTAGCTTCATGTGTACAAGCATTCTTACATTACCATACTAAGAAAACACTACCAGTGTCACGCTTAACGTGTTCCTAGATGTCTGCATTCCCACCTTTGACGAGCCTACGACTCTTTTCGCGGTCCATCATCCCCATCCCTCCCTTACCCTTCCCTTCATCCTCGCTCTATCATCTTCCGTTCTACCATCGCTCCTCCCCTCTGAAAATACACACACATTCTCGTCACCCTCCCCTTCCCCCCTCCTCCCTTTCATCACCCGTTCCCCTCCGTCTAGTGCCTTCCCCTCCACTCCTCACACCTCCTGCCTCCGCTTCCCTCACGCCTCCTGCCTCCTCACGTCTCTTCCCCCTCTTTTCACATGCGTGCCATTTCTTCCCTCTCCCTCCTCCCCTGCTTCCATCCATGCCCCCTCTCCTCGCTTCTTGCCAACTCTTTCCCTCCTGCCGACTCCACCTCGCTTGCCCCATTTTGGACCTTTGCCCTCTGGCAAGTTCATTCCCTCCCCTCCCAATTCCCTGCCGTGCTTTTTTCCTTCCACTCATTGCCAAATCCATTCTACCTTCTGCCGCCTGACATGCGCGTTCATCTTGTTGGCAATCATAATTAGCGCCTCACACCTATGAACGAAACCTGACTAATGTTTTTACAGCATGGAACTCTAACAGGCAGGGAAATGAGGCTACCTTGAAGCAGGCTTTTGTGAAGCATGTAGGTGATGATGAACTACACTATTTTGCTGGAGTAGAATTCAAACGTAACAGTACGCTTCCGCGCCTAGGCATGGACCTTGGGTTCCTCCTCATCACGCCTTCAATAGCGGCTCTGATTGGCTGCGAGCTTGCGCCTCGACCTTCGCAAACATATTGATTTCCTGGACCACCCTTCTGGCTTTAGTTAGACAAGTGCGCTAGTTAGAAACTGCATTGTTCCTGCAAGCGCTCCACACGCGCACCGTGCATGTCGCAAAGGTTGCGGCGACGAGGACAGCCCGGTGAAAGCCGCCAACTAAGGGAGAGCCGCTGTGCAGGTGGTTCCGACGAGCTCACTAAGTGCATGAAGCTCCATGCGTGTGCTCCCTACCAGGGCTCAATCTCTAGGCGACAAGAGAATGGAGCTCCATGCGTCCACGGAACGTCCATACCACGCCCTGCTGACGCCTCCTCGCGGCGCAAAAATCGGGTTCATGTGCCACTCCCGCTGTGTGGGCCCTGTCGGAAGTCGAGCGAATTTTGACAGACGAGCGAGGAGCCTGTTAGGAGGCTGGAGTCTCGTCACGAGGGGTCCGCATTGAGATATCATGTGCGCCATGGCGGATAGGATGTGTGTTTTTAAAGTACAGTGTCACTTCAGTGAGTCTGTGCGTGCACCCAGGCCACAGAATCGCACAGGGGTCGTGAAGCCTTTAATCGCTGGAGGAATCCTGGAGTTGGTTGCAAGTGATAAAATCAACAAGTGGGCAGTAGGGTGAACGGCTAGGTGAAGATTTATTGCGGCGCCTCAAAAGTACAATAAGCAAGTGGGCAGTGCGGACAGTGAGGTGAACGGCTAGCTGAAGCACCAGGACCAGGAAAAGGCAGGAGCAAATCCGGCACTGTAAGGAGGGAAACGAACGCAGCGGTAGGAGAAGGCAGCAGCAAATCCGCCATGGCTGCTCCATCCACGAGCACCCCAGTGGCTCTTCGCAGCAAGGGAAACGCCTTCTACGCCAGTGCTTTCACCGACGGCATCGACCCGCTCCTGAAGCGCAGCCGCCTCAACATCGCCCTCTCCAAGTATCGAGAGGCGCTGCGCCGCCACGTGGCAGAATCTCAGCCGTCCGCGGATGAGCTGTCTTCGTTGTGGAAGAACGTAGCTATGGTTTCATCTGCCCTGGCAGCTTGCCATGCAGATGCTTATAAGGCGTACAAGCCCCCTGTGATAGACGCTGCTGCATCGGAACGGGTCATGGTGAGAGCCATGCGCCGAGCCATGGAGGAAAGGGAGTGGGACTATAAGCAAATCGAGGAGCACTATAAGGAGGCTGTCAAGGCGTTCTGCCTGGCCCTTCTTTTTGGCAGTTGCGAGGCACGGAATAGGGCGGCAAAGGGTGGCAGCAACCGTCCAGCTCGCAGCACTCCAGCCAAACCGGAGGAGTGGCAGCAGAAGGTTCTGGGATCTTTCACCGATGTGATCTCCCAGATCAGGGCGTTTGCCCGCGTTGCTAGTAGCAGCACGGGGGGCAGGGCAGGGGGCATTTGCACATCTGCAGCAGGTGCCGGTGTGAGGGACAATGGAGAGCGGTTGCTGTGGGTGGTAATGGGTGCGTTTGGTGAGATGCGCGCACGGGACAGCTGGAAGCAGCACTTTGGTGATAAGGACGCTAACAAAGGTTCGCCCGATTCCCATTAAAACTTCCCCGTTCTTCTTGTTTTTACCCTTTTTTTTCACTTACTTTTTCGTGCCTATGCATGCGCCATCTTCGTCCCTTGTTGGAAAGCAGCAGTATTAGGGTATTTTCTCAGACTTCTTCTCAGAGACTGGAAAGCTGCTGCTGTCGACGCCTCCCCACACCCGCACCGCCAGTTGATTGGACAGCAACCTCCACACGCCACGTGGAGGCCTTTGCAGCCTTCCACGTGGCGTTCTCTCAGTTCCTCCTGCACAAGGGCCAATCACTGCTCACCATCAACCTCGCGCGCTGCTCGCACTCCCCCCAGCCAACCACGGCGGCCGGGATCACGGCGGGGGTTAACGGTATCAATCTGGGAGCTGGAGGGAAGAAGCCGACGCAGCTGGAGGTGCAGAGGGAGAGTGCGCGGTGCTTTGCCGAGTGTGAGCGCCCGCTGCGGCTGCTGGATGATGCTCTGCTCACGCTTGAGAGAAACGTGGCGGGTGAGTGGAGGTGATGGGTGAAGTTTCAGCGAAATTTTCAGCAAATGTTCAGTCACTCTTTCGTGAAGGTTCAGCACAGGTGAGTGGGCCTGTTTATTGCGGCTCCTTGTCATTGCTTCTCGCCTTGAAGCCTCGACTCCCATGCCTCTTTGGATGGTTTCTCATGTGTGCAGGCAGGTCGTGTGGTAACCAGTCGGTAACACAAGCCACCCTCTCTGCCCTGCGGATTCAAGTCAAGGAACTGCAAACTGCTTGCTTTACCGGCAGCTGTCTGTGTGATTCAGTCGAAACTATTGTCCGCGCAATGGCCCTCTTTGCACGAGCAACAGCAGCAGAAAAAGCAGATGGGGGCAGCACGGATGGGGGTAGTCCGGGCGACAGTGCTGCCAATGTGGAGCTTCTATGGGCGGCAGTGGATGGGTTTAAGGAGGCTGTGGTGCTGACGAGGGAGCACCATGTGGACATGGAGGCGTATGCGCTGAGCTGGCTGGGGCTTGTGTATGATGTGGCACTGCAGATGGACGACATTGGTCATCGCTACCACCAACGGGCTGTGCAGGTAAGTTTTCTGACACAGTTGGCTTGAATGGCTGCACATATTTTGGTTGGGCAATATTGAGCTGCCTTGAAACTGGTACCTAAACTGTAATGCAGTTGGGTAACTAGTGCGGGTGGATAACTAGTGCAGGTGGGTAACTAGTGCAGGTGGGTAACTAGAGGAGGTGGGTAAGTACAGTGTCGCTCACCTGGTCCACCCTTTCACTGCATGCCATACATGCAGGTCTCTGTTTCTCACATGTCCCTCGCCCTCCCACTCCCCCCTTCCCCACCCCACTCCTCGGCAGTTCGTACTCTCTTTACAGCTCGTGCTCTCCACAGTGCAATCCCGCCCCTTCCTCGCTCGCTCCACCTGGTACTTTGCCTTTGTTCGAGCCATCGACCGCCATCAGGCCCGTGCCTTTCAGATCCACCTCTGCCCTCCCACATCCCCCTCTGCCCTCCCACATCCCCTTCCACCCTCCACAGCTCGTCCTCTCGGCCACGCAATCCCACCCCAAGCTCGCTCTTTCCACCTGGTACTCTGCCTCGGTAAAAGCCATTGACCGCCACCAGGCCAAGGTGAGGCGGCAGGAGGAGCAGCAGCGCGAGCAGGAGCGCGGACCTCTGCTGGCAAAGATGAAACCGGAGCTTGAAACCCTCTCCAAGATGAGTGAGAGCGGGTGGAAGCAGCTTCTGACTCACATCTACAGCAAGTACCCGCCTAAGAGCGGGAACGGGAATTTGACGTGTCCTTCGTTGAACGCGGATGATGCAAAGGCGTCGCTGCGAACAGCCATTCTGCATTACCACCCGGATAAGAACGGTGAGCATGGCGACAGGTGGAAGATCCTGTGTGAGGAGATCACCAAGTGTCTCAACGCCAAGTATCTCAGCTTCAAGTAGGTACTACAGTCTTCACCTGTGTGTTGTGCAAGTTTGCTTGGGCTCACTCAAGCAAGACTAGAGGATTCTGAATGAGAAAGCTTGGACCTGCAGTAATGAGAAAGCTGTCAGTGATGAGTTTCCGGATCCTAGTCCATATTAGGCTTCATGCTGTGGAACTGGTTGTGTGTTGTGTCTTTTCTGCCGGAGATTCTGTGCGCGATGCACGTTCAACATTGCAAACAATGATAGTGCCTCACCAAACCAAACACTACAGTACTACAGCGATTTGCTTTCAGCAGCATACTGGTAATTGGTTCCATGCGCAAACATCACAAGGCAATGCAAATAACCAAGACGTGTGCATTCAGTGTTTCACAAATCAGCAGCCCAGCCAAACACGCCAGCAAATCGGACTTCCGGAAGCAGCTCGGTCAAGCAAGTCATGCCATCTAAATTCTTCACTGCTGCCTTTCCTCTGCTGTTCCTCCTGCTCCCTAAGGAAGCTGAAGGCCCAAGTAGAAGCTAGATGTTTCGATTATAACCTTGGAGCAACGTGGAAGACTTAGTCGGAGGAGAGGACGTTGAGGTACTGCTCCCACCCATCCGTCTCCAGCTGCCCTGCCTTCTCCAGCACCATGCCCTCTAGGTCCTTCTGGTACGCCACCATGCTGTGGGCAAGAGAGGAGTGGAGAGGAGTGGAGAGGAGAGGAAGGGAGTGGAGAGGAGTGGAAGGGAAGTGGGGGTTGTGGAGCGAAAGAGATGGTGAGCACAAGGGGTCCGCCCTGCCTTCTCCAGCACCATGCCCTCTAGGCCCTTCTGGTATGCCACAATGCTGTGGACCCGGGGAATAGAGGAGTGGAGGGGTGTGGAGAGGAATGGAGAGGAGAGGAGTGGAGTGGAGAAGACTGGAGAGAGTGGAATGGTTTGGGGTAGGGGGGAGACTGCCTTTTCCAGCACCATGCCCTCTACCCGTCTGGTACACCACCATGCCTTGATGGTGGCGCGGGGAGAGGGGGTGGGGGGGAGGAGGGGGAAGGGGGAAGGGGGATGATGGAGGGAAATCAGAGGAACACAAGGAAACCCTGCCTTGTCAAAGACACCTGGACACCACTCGAGACTTGAAAGCGTGCAATGCTGACCAGATACGTACCGGTCCAAGAGAGCAGGATCGGACGCTCCCAGCATGCGCACGGCCAGCAGAGCAGCGTTGACTGCGTTGTTGATCGCCACTGTGGCCACTGGAATGCCACGTGGCATCTGGTGATTGGAGAGGGGGAGGAACGGGAAAAGGAGGGGCAGAGAGGAGCGTTAGGGAATGGTGGGTAAGGCTGATGACAGTGCTTCAATTAGATGGACAGAAGGAGTTTAGCCAAAACAAGGAGATTTGTGAAAGCACGCCATGGCATTTTCTCTTCAAGATTCAACCACAAAATAAAAAGGAAAGCCTCAGAATCCCCCCTAGGAATCACCTGAACGATGGAGAGCAGCGAGTCCATGCCACCGAGAGCAGAGCCCTTGACTGGCACGCCAATCACCGGGAGAGGTGACATTGATGCCACCATGCCTGGTGGTCGTTGGGGGGAGGGGAGATGTGAAAGACCGAGTTTGGGTGGACAAAAGATTGTTGCTTTGGTTCTACTCGAGTTTAGGGCGGCCTGAAGCCCTTGACTGGCACGCGGGGAGAGGACATCACCAGAGGAGGTGACATGGATGCGACCATGCCTGGTGGTTGTTAGTGGAGAGAGGGGAGGGGAAAGGGAGAGGGGATGAGTGGAGAATGGTGCTGAGTTGAAGTCACGAGCAGGCTTGAAGTCACGAGCAGGCCTGAAGTCACTTGAGTTGAAATGTTGGAGCATCGTACGGGTGAAAGGACGAGGTAAGAAGGGGAGAATGGGGTGCGAGAGAAAGGAGCGTCGAGGAGGGGATTGAGGGGCGCGGAGGAGGGGCATAAATGCCAAGTTGCCAGTGCTCTGTTGTTTTCACCTGGCAGGTGAGCGGCACCGCCGGCGCCAGCAATGATGACTCGGATGCCCCTTGTGTGTGCTGACTGCGCGAATGAGAACATGCGGTCTGGCGTGCGATGGGCCGACACTATGGTCAGCTGGTGGGGGGCGGGGGATGTGAGGAAACGGGAAGGGGAGATGGAAACGAGATGAGTTAAAAGGGAGAATGAGCAAGAGCCGGGAAGCAGTGGTCGGAATGAATGAGAACAAGCGGTCTGACGTGCGATGAGCCGACGCTATGGTCAACTGGAAAGGGAGACATTGGGGGGGGGCGGGAGGGAGTAGGAGCTAAGGGGCAGGGGGGGCGGGCGGAAGGTGATGAATGACAGTGGAGAAGCAAGAGGAAGCGAACGACAATAATAGGGGAGAGGTGGTAGTAGGGGAAGGGGAAAGAGGGACGGTGAGTCATCTTTTCGAGCCATTGCTCATGCCTACCCCACAGCGCTCACCTCAAAAGGCACTTGGAAGAAATCGAGGATCTGAGCCGCCCCTTTCATGACGGGCAGGTCCGAGTCGCTGCCCATTATGATCGCCACCTGTGGCGCTGCATCGTGATGGACGGGCGATTAGGTGTGACCGGGAGAGAAAGAGGAGAGAGGGGGTGTAGGATGGAACGATTAGCTTAGCGCCCTTCATGACTGGTAGGTGCGAGTCGCTGCCCATTATGATCGCCACCTTTGGCGGTGCAGAAGGTTAGGTGCAAGGGAATACGAGGGAGTGAGAAGGATTGAGAGGGAGTAAGAGGTGGAGAGAGGGAACAGAGATCAGTGACTGGTAAGTCAGAGTAGCTTTTTTGAAATTTCCACCCGGGGCGCTGGAAACAAATAAGACGAGAAAAAATCATAGCTGGTAGAGACATTCACTCCCCTTCCCCTATCTGCCACTCCCTTTCCCCTACACACTCCCCTACCATGTACCACCACTCCGTATCCCTGCTCACCTCTCCCAACCCCTCCTCACCTCGCCCATCCCCTGCCTGCCCATCTCCCATGGCGTCTGTCTGGCACAATGGCAGATAGTACCATGCACGCAACCAGCTTTCACTTAAGGCAAGGTACCAACACCACGATTCCACCCATTCCCCTCCCTACCACTCCACTTCTCCTCCCCACCACCCCATACCCCTCTTCACCCGACTCCTTCTCACCTTGCCCGTCCCCGGCCTGCCCATCCCCCATGGCTTGTGGCACGATGGCATTGATTCGCCTCACTGCCTCCTGCACCGTCGGCGCCACCACCGTCACATGCCCCATCTTGCGCTTCGCCCGCATGTCTGGGGAGGGGGAGGAGGGTGTGGGGGGAGAGGCGAAGGGGCGAGTAACAGTGAGGAAATGAGCTCTTGGAGCCACCACCGTCACATGCCCCATCTTGCGCTTGGCGCGCATGTCTGCAGTGGGAAGCAGGGTGTGGGGGGAGAGGCGGTCGAGAAAGGGAGGGAGGGAGGGATGGTGGGGGAGGAGGGGACGGGGGAAAACATACGAGCAGTGAATGAACTGATTCGCCACATAAGCAATGACTGACCAGATCTTTCCAGTTAAAGTACTGACCTGACTTGTCGTACCAACCCCCCATGTGCTTCCACATGAGCACTGACCTGACTTGTCGTACCAGTGGATGGACGCCCCCGGCACCAGCAGCGCGTGCTTCAGAATGGCCTGCGATATCTCAAAGCCCTCATCTCCCTGCCAGGGGATGCACCACATGCCGCAAGGACGGAGATGAGAGGTGGGAGATGAGAGGTGGGAGATGAGAGGTGGGAGATGGGAGGTGGGAGATGGGAGGTGGGAGATGAGAGGTGGGAGATGGGAGGTGGGAGATGGGAGGTGGGAGATGGGAGGTGGGAGATGAGAGGTGGGAGATGAGAGGTGGGAGATGGGAGGTGGGAGATGGGAGGTGGGAGATGGGAGGTGGGAGATGAGAGGTGGGAGATGAGAGGTGGGAGATGGGAGGTGGGAGATGGGAGGTGGGAGATGGGAGGTGGGAGATGAGAGGTGGGAGATGGGAGGTAGGCAAGCAACGTTGAGAGAACCGGGGCATGATTGAGCTGCCAATTAGCATAGGCTTGGGAAGCCCTTCAAAACAAACTACGCCAACCCTCTCCCTCATCACGCCCTTCCCTCCCACCCACACTCACATCAGCCTCCCCCAGGATGTTGACCATAGCGGCAGCGCCAACTTTAAGCGAGGGGTCCCCCAGGGGCAGCCCCAGCACGGCCCTGAGGTGCTGCTCGTACTGCGACACGTGGCACGCCTCTATGCTGTAGTGCCCGCTGTTGTGCGGCCGCGGCGCCACCTCATTGAGTAGGACGGAGTTGTCGGCCAGCAGGAACAGCTCCACGCCAAAAACGCCCGCCCCGGCGAGCGAGCCGATCGCCAGCTCGGCCACTCGCAGCGCCTGCTGCTGCACTGCGGGCGGCACACCGGCCGGCACGACCACTGTGTTGCAGATGTTGTCTCTGGTGAGCGCAAGGGCGGGCGGCAGGGAAGAGGACAAGGGAAGCAGGAGAGGCAGATGATATATGTAGAAGCTTCAAATAGAGGTGAACTCGGCTGCTCTTCAAATTGTTCTCCCTTGTCCTTCATTTCTCACCTCTCACAGCCTCTCGCCCTCAATGTCGCTCACCACCCCTCACCACCTCTCACCACCGCTCACCGGTGGGTGGTCTCCACAACAGGGAAGCTCTTGATCTCCCCGTCCCGCCCTCTCGCCACCATCACTGCCAACTCCTGCCAAACCCATGTCGGTTACGTATACGCAACAACAGAACTGACTTTGAGTCAACTCAAAAGTCAGCTCATAGGTGTGTCTGAAGCATACGCAACAACAGAATCAAGCCATACGTAACCGACATGGGTTTTGAGGCGCCTCAAAACACGTGCAAACGAGCATGGCTGTGAAGCATATGAAACAGATTGCAGCCGTATTTCATACGTGCTTCACTGTAGTGAGTAAACGAAGTGCAAACAGGTGCAATGCAGTGCAGAGAGAAGCAGTGCACACAGCTTTGAGACGTCTCAAAAGCAGTGCACACAGGCCTCACTCACCTTGATGAAAGGAGCCCACTTCTCAGCATACAGCCCTCGCTCAAAGCCCCCCAGGTCTGTGAGGGTGGCACAAGGGAATGGCATAGCCAGAAAGCAAGGCAGTCTGTGAGGAAACGAGGAAGCAGAAAGGAGCAGATAGTCCTTCCTACCGCTCAAAGCAATGCTACACCTTGTGGCCCTGTGTGCTGAAACCAGGTTGCAACAACAACAACAACAACAACAACAACAACAACAACAACAACAACAACAACAACAACAACAACAACAACAACAACAACAACAACAACAACAACAACAACAACAACAACAACAACAACAACAACAACAACAACAACAACAACAACAACAACAACAACAACAACAACAACAACAACAACAACAACAACAACAACAACAACAACAACAACAACAACAACAACAACAACAACAACAACAACAACAACAACAACAACAACAACAACAACAACAACAACAACAACAACAACACACAACAACAACAACAACAACAACAACAACAACAACAACAACAACAACAACAACAACAACAACAACAACAACAACAACAACAACAACAACAACAACAACAACAACAACAACAACAACAACAACAACAACACAACAACAACAACAACAACAACAACAACAACAACAACAACAACAACACAACAACAACAACAACAACAACAACAACAACACAACAACAACAACAACAACAACAACAACAACAACAACAACAACAACAACAACAACAACAACAACAACAACACAACAACAACAACAACAACAACAACAACAACAACAACAACAACAACAACAACAACAACAACAACAACAACACAACAACAACAACAACAACAACACACAACAACAACAACAACAACAACAACAACAACACAACAACAACAACAACAACAACAACAACAACAACAACAACAACAACAACAACAACAACAACAACAACAACAACAACAACACAACAACAACAACAACAACAACAACAACAACAACAACAACAACAACAACAACAACAACAACAACAACAACAACAACAACAACAACAACAACAACAACAACAACAACAACAACACAACAACACAACAACAACAACAACAACACAACACAACACAACAACAACAACAACAACACAACAACAACAACAACACAACAACAACAACAACAACAACAACAACAACAACAACAACAACAACAACAACAACAACAACAACAACAACAACAACAACAACAACAACAACACAACAACAACAACAACAACACAACAACAACAACAACACAACAACAACAACAACAACAACAACAACAACAACAACAACAACAACAACAACAACAACAACAACAACAACAACAACAACAACAACAACAACAACAACAACAACAACAACAACAACAACAACAACAACAACAACAACAACAACAACAACAACAACAACAACAACAACAACAACAACAACAACAACAACAACAACAACAACAACAACAACAACAACACAACAACAACAACAACAACAACAACAACAACAACAACAACAACAACAACAACAACAACAACAACAACAACAACAACAACAACAACACAACAACAACAACAACAACAACAACAACAACAACAACAACAACAACAACAACAACAACACAACAACAACAACAACAACAACAACAACAACAACAACAACAACAACAACAACAACAACAACAACAACAACAACAACAACAACAACAACAACAACAACAACAACAACAACAACAACAACAACAACAACAACAACAACAACAACAACAACAACAACACAACAACAACAACAACAACACAACAACAACAACAACAACAACAACAACAACAACAACAACAACAACAACAACAACAACAACAACAACAACAACAACAACACAACAACAACAACAACAACAACAACAACAACAACAACAACAACAACAACAACAACAACAACAACAACAACAACAACAACAACAACAACAACAACACAACAACAACAACAACAACAACAACAACAACAACAACAACAACAACAACAACAACAACAACAACAACACAACAACAACAACAACAACAACAACAACAACAACAACAACAACAACAACAACAACAACAACAACAACAACAACAACAACAACAACAACAACAACAACAACAACAACAACAACAACAACAACAACAACAACAACAACAACAACAACAACAACAACAACAACAACAACAACAACAACTACAAGTACAACTACTACAACAAAAACACAACTGCTACGACCCACACACCTGCAACAGCTTGCTCAATGTCTTCTTGTGAGTTCACGACAGCGTTTCCGCGGCCGTCATACGCGTTCTTGCGACTCTTGAGCATGAAGGGGTAAGAGAACTCCTCCCCTGCCGCCTCCGCTGCAGCCATATCTGGTATCTGATGGCAAGGCAAGGCATCAGATGGGGGCGTGGTGTGGGCTAATGTCTACTTTTGAGGCGCCTCAAAAGTCGCCTCCGCTGCTGCCATATCTGGTATCTTTGGCACGGCAAGGCATTGGATGGGGGCGTGGTGTGGGCAAGTTGAGACGTCTAATAGAAAGTGGGATGAGGAAACGAACCCGTGCTATAATGTCCGGAGCACACCTGATGGCAATGCAGAGGATGGGGCACAGAACGGGGATCGCGATGGGCCAAACGACGAGGCAAGGCAAGTGATGTGACATGAGATGACACTTATCATGAAACACGTACCGAGATGTATGGTGCATGTGCAACCCTGTGATTCGCAGCATAGATCAAACCATGCATGCTTTCTTGCTTGTGCAAAAAGGCAATGTTTCAGTGAGGCCTAAACAAGAGATGAAGGGGACGAGGGGAAGGAGGCGAGAGCAAACACGAGGGCGAGAAGATGCCAAAAAGAGGGCAAGCAGAGCAAAGAGAGGGTAGAGAGCAAGGAGTGGGCAAGGAGCAACTAACCGACACAAAGTCTGGGAGAGGCACACCACGATTCCTGAAGTGAACCTTCTGCAAGTACTTGTCCTGGTGGGGTGAGGGACAGGGTGAGGGACCGGGGGGAGGGACGGGGGAGAGAAGGAAAGGTGAGGGGGTGAGGAATGAATAGGAGTGAGGTTAGAGAGAGATGAGAGAAGCAACCACCTGGATACGGTCACATAACAGCATATAGTCACGTTACAGGTTACAGTCACGTTACAGGTTACATTCACGTTACAGGTTACAGTCACGTTACAGATTACAGTCACAGTCACTTGGGTGACGCGGAATGGGTGAAAGGGCTTGGGTTTGATGTCAATGCAGTTGCCGTCCTCCAAGTGTGTTTGAGGTGCCTCAAAGACCATTACAGTCACACTCGACCCTTGTTACAGTCACAATCTACCTGAATGACGCCGATGGTGGACGGCTTAGGCTCGATATCAATGCAATCGTCGTCCTCCAGGTGCTGTAGCGCATCCTAGACCATCACAGTCACACTCGTTACACTCACACTCACCTGAATGACACCAATGGTGGAGGGCTTAGGTTCGATGTCAATGCAGTCGTCGTCCTCCAGGTGCTGCAGCGCGTCCACGTTCACGTGTTCTATCTCCACCGTCACCACGTCGCTCCTGTTTATAACGAGGACAGAGAACCACGCACATATCCAGCGAGTTTGAGAGCATCTGAGAACAGAACGGACGGAGCTTGAGTGACTGCATATCACAGGGAAGGAGAACTAAGCTAATGCGCAGCTGATATGCGCCTAGGAGAACTAATGCGCAGTTCGCTAACTAATGTTTGTAGACTGAATCGTTCTGCCCGACAGATGATTGTGAGCACCTTTTATCGCGGCGGATTCGACTCACTTCTTCGCGAATTCTCGCACGGTGTCCATGTCCTGGAAGCTTCCTACCACGTGGCGGAACGCCACTGGACGAGCCGGCGCGTCTGGCAGCGGGTCGAGCACCGCGACCTTGATCCCCAAAGGCGACGCCGCCTCGCACAGCATTCGACCCAGCTGCCCGCCGCCCAAAACTCCCACGATTTGGCGGGAAACTCCGCGTCCCTCGGGCTCCCGCTCCCACACCTCTTCATCTTCCGCCATCGCCACTGCGCCGTTTCCCGCCGCTTCTTCCGCGTCGAACGCGACGACGCCGCCGTTCAAGCTCTCGCCTTCCTCCGCGATTACCGCTCCTTCAAGAGCGCGCGGGACGAGTCGCGATTTCGCGGCGCGCGCGGGTGTTAAAGGGTTGAGCGGTACGCGCGAGTAGGGCTTCTGAAGAGCGAAGCAGCGCGACATTGTAGGGGTGGAGGAATTACAAAGGGGAGCTTCAGCGCGTGACGTCAGCAGTTGAGCTCGGTAAAGCGCCACGTGGCAACCAAGTGAGGAAGCGGCCATGGGGTTTTGCTGACGTAGCGCGAGGAGCGACACGGGCCCGACTATCCTGAACACGACGAAGTGGGCGACTTAGGACGCACTCTGCAGCGAGCTAGGTGTCGAAGGGTGAGATCAGTAGAATACCACTCCTTGAAGGGGTTAGGCGTGGAGGCAGAGCGACGCCTGACTGACCCTTGACGCCAAGCTAAGAGAAGGGGGAGGAAGCGCAGTGTGCGTGAAGGACCAAGTCACCTTGGGAATTCACTGTGCAGTGGAGACACATATCTGCTATGAAGCAATTTTCTTAAACACAAGCGTGTTTCTTATATGGGATACATTAGGTGTCCTCCATGTTCTGAATATCTGGAAACGAAACGCATGTACAATATCAAGGATTACCATATCCACCTTCCCCCCAATCACAGCATTGCGCCGTCAGAAATGTGTCGGCTACAGTGTTCGCGCGAATTGAACCTCGCCGTCACATCCCCACCAGAAGACGGAGTCGCGGTCAGGAATTTAGGACTTGTTGCGTCCAGGAACCAATCAGGCAGGGGCGCAGGCGCGCGGTCAACTGTGCGCCCGAAGCAAACTGAGAAATGTTTTTCTGTGCAGCTGGAATTGGGTGGGTCAGCCAGCTGATGACATCCCACTTGCATTGCAACCAGATGACAGATGCTGCTATGCTATGCCCGCAGCAAAAACATTCAAAAGTTCGCGCGAAAACGGAGGGGGAGGTGAGACCAACCAACTTATAGGCTGCCTTGACGATGCATACAAGGTATGGTAAAGCCCAGGGGCGACGGTTTCTGGCGATTTATTAGCACTGCCTCATAGATATCTCGCAAGCTTTTGGGTAGTTCTGGACGTCAGGGACGTCGAAGGAGCGTACGGTACGGAACCTCCTGCGCAATGGCCGTTCCAGTATTACAGTAACAGCAGCCGCTAGTGATTATAGACGCGCCTATGGCGGCCTTTCGGGCGCGAGCCCGTAGAGGCTGGCCAGCGACGACCCGAAAACCTTTTCGAAGGCGTCAACAGTCCTCGCTTTTCGTTATGCCTGCGCACGAAGCCCTCCTGATCCTCGTCATCAGCTGTCTCGCTTTTAGCGCCACCGTAACAGCCGCTCCCGACTACCGCGACGCGTTGTCGAAAGCGCTTCTGTTCTTCGACGGCCAACGGTCGGGTAACCTCTCAGGCGCCGCGATCAAGACCAGGGCGACGTGGCGCGGCGACTCCGGCCTCACCGACGGCAAAGCGCAGAAGGTGAGGCGTTGCGATCTTGACAACGGAATGACTTTTGAGACGTCTCAAAACTTGACTACGGAATGCGATACTAACTGCCCATCGATCATTCCCGTCCGTTCCATCAGCGGCCCTCACGCTGATCGACTCTTCGTTCTCTCCGTCCCCTTCTCTGCTTCCCGTTCTCCCTTTCCCTCCCATCCCCTCTTCTTTCCGCGCAGGTCGACTTGGTAGGCGGCTACTATGACGGCGCGGGGAACGTTAAGTACGGCCTGCCGCTGGCCTTCTCCCTCACGCTGCTCTCCTGGGCCGCCGTCGATTACCAGTCGCAGCTCGCCGCGTCAGGCGGCCAGCTCTCCGCGGCTCGCGACGCGATTCGCTGGGGTACGGACTACCTCCTTAAAGCGCACACGAGCGCGAATGAGCTCTGGGTGCAAGTAGGTGACGGTCCGAGCGACGACCTGTGCTGGCAGCGGCCCGAGGACATGACGACGGACCGCACCGCGTACCGCGTGAACGCGACGCGGCCGGGATCTGACGTGGCAGGGGAGACGGCGGCGGCGATGGCGGCGGCGTCGCTGGTGTTCGCGAAAGTGGATCCGCCGTATTCGTCGCTGCTGCTGAACCGCTCGCAGCAGCTGTTCACATTTGCGGACACTTATCGCGGTGTATATTCGGATTCTATCCCCATTGCGAGGCGGAACTATCCCTCGTGGACCGGATACGAGGTGAGGAAGGGTGACGTGGAAATCTAGGCGCGGGATCACGACACTGCCTAGTTCTGCGCGGGATCACGACACTCCTGGTTCTATCTCGCACCAAGCGATGAGCAGCGCGTTCGATGCATTCAAACTCTTCCTCTCCTCCGAACGTGCCCCTAACAGGACGAGTTGGCGTGGGCGGCGGCGTGGCTGCACCGAGCCACGGGGTCATCGCAGTACCTCGAGTACCTGGCGACGAACGACGAGCAGCTGCAGGGGTCGTCGCAGGCCACCACGGAGTTGAGCTGGGACGACAAGTTCGCCGGCGCTCAAGTGCTGGTGGCTAAGGTATGTTGCTTTACCTTGAAGCGTGGCGAGGGGAGTGTTGCAGGTGCAGCTGCAGGGGTCGTCGCAGGCCACCAGAGAGTTGAGCTGGGACGACAAGTTCGCCGGCGCGCAAGTGCTGGTGGCTAAGGTTCGGCCTTTTGCCATCCGCGATGGTCAGGGGGTGCTGGTGTGCAAGAGGGGTAAAGATCTCTCTCCATCCCTCCGTCCCTCCCTGCCCCTTGTCTTCCGGCACAGGTTGCACTGCAAGGCAGCGGGGCGGGTAATCTGAGCACAGCAGCACAGGCGGTGGTGGAGGGGTATCGCGGCATGGCGGACGCCTTTGCATGTGCCTACATGCCCGATAACCCACTGCACTCCGTCTACATCACGCCAGGTGAAGATTCTGATTCATGGGTGTTTCTCATTCCAAGTACAGCCTTCACCGCTTTTGTTGTGTCGAGCCTGCCTGCCCAATGCTGCCCTCCTCCCCGTGCCTCATATGCCCTGCCACTAAGACTATTGGCTGCTCAGCGCCTTCGCTTCTTGGCCCTCTCAAATCCAGTCCCTGCATCAACCCTCCCTGCATCAAACCTCCCTGCATCAACCCTTCTCTTGCAGGCGGGCTGGTGTACATTCGAGCGCGCAACAGCCAGTACGCCACGTCGGCCGCGTTCCTGCTGCTGCTCTACAGTGACTACCTGGCGTCGGCCAATCAGACGCTCTCGTGCGACGGCACGCAGTACTCGCCTGCTGACATGGCAGCCTTCTCCAAGTCACAGGTGGGATTCGCTACAGTCACACCGGATGGGTTACCCGCCGACCTCCAACCCTCTCAACGCATTGCAAACATTCCCCTCCACTTCCCCCCTCTAAACTGATTCCTTCCCTCTCTCTCCACCCTCCTCCACCGTACTCAACCCAGGTGGATTACCTGCTAGGCGCCAACTCCCTCAACGCCTCGTACATGGTCGGCTTCAGTGTTTGAGGTGCCTCCAAGCTAGATGAAATTTTAGTTTTGACTCAAAAGTCACCTCACCCCCTTCCCATTCACCCCAGATGGATTACCTGCTAGGGGTCAACCCCCTCAACGCCTCCTACATGGTCGGCTTCGGCCAGTCCTACCCGCAGAAGCTGCGCCACCGGGCGGCGTCCATCGTCTCTTTCAAAGCGGACAGCACGCCGGTTACCTGTGAGGGCGGCAAGACGGATTGGCTGCTGAGCCCCGACCCCAACCCCAACGTGCACGTGGGAGCCATTGTTGGGGGCCCTGATGCGGTGAGCGAAGCGAAGCACTTGTACTGATTATGCTACTACGGTGTGTGAGTACCTGCTGTGACCCCATCGCACCCCCAAGAGAGCGATGCATGCTTGAATGAATCGCTGCTAGCAGCAGCAGTCACCGAGCCTGTGCCCAACCCTCGTCTAGTAAGTCGATTTTTTAGTCGACTCAAAAATCGAGCCTGTGCCCAACCCTCGTCCGCCCCCTTCGTTTCCCTTTCCCCCTCGCACTCCACCCCCTCCCCTCATCCCACCCACAGGACGATGCATTCATGGACGACAGGCAGCAGGCAGCATTCAACGAGCCGTCTCTCTTCACCAACGCTGCTGCCGTCGGTGCCTTCGCCCGCCTTGCTGCAGGCGCTCTCCCTCCCGGCCCCTCGCCCCCCCCTGCTCCGCCCTCCCCTCCCCCTCCGCCATCCCCTCCCCCCGCTCCCCCCCCTCCCCCACGCCCGCCCAAGCCCCCTCCGCCTCCCCCCAGCCCGCCCTTCCCCCCGCCATCGCCCCCACCTCCAGGTATGCATCCCTAAGTTACTGTCATAAGAACGCACCCCTCTATTTTTATCATGAGCTGAGTGTTTTTATCTTGTCTTTCTCCCGTTCCCTTGCTGGCGCGTGTGTATGCCCCTTGATCTTCCTGCTCTTTCACCTCCGCTCTTGTCCATTTTTGTGCATCACCTGCCCACCCTCCTGCCCTTCTGGTAAAGCTATTCTCGGTGCTGTAGGGTTTTTTTTGAAAATTCTCAAAAAAAACGTAAGAGCCATTCTCGGTGCTTATCCTCCTTCCTCGTGCTCTCATTCACCTTTTTCCCAACCCTGTCCAACGTTTTTTCCCTCTCCCACCCCCTTCCCCCCAGCCTCGCAAGTCACCGTCACCTGCACCATCTCGGGAGGCTGGACGGCCGACGGCAAGGACGTGGCACAGTGGGGATGCACCCTCACCAACACAGACCCCCTCTACCCTGTCACAGCCATCTCGCTGCTCTGCTCCTCCTTCCAGCCACAACAATACTGGAACATCGACCCGCTAGCCTGCGCTCTCCCGGACTGGGCCCGGAACCTGGGTCCAGGCGGGAGTGCGTCGTTTGGGTTCATTCAGGAGAAGGCAGTCACGCCGCAGTTTAGTGTTCTCGGGTATTTCTCGAATGCACCCCCCGCGCCTAGTGTAAATGGCGGGTCTCCTCCTCCCCCTCAACCGCCTCCCTCTCCCCCGCCGCTTCCGCCGCCTCCCCGCTCATCTCCTCCTCCCCCTCCGCCGCCCACAAGCTCCCCCCGCCCCCCTCCCCCTGCAGCATCTTCCCCCCGGCCTCCTCCCCCGCTGCAGACCGGGTTCCCCCCTCCTCCAACCAACACCCCTCCTGCTGCCACTCC